GTGCGTCTTATGGAGCAAAAAATACGGTATATATATTGACCAGAATGTTACTGGTGTTAGTTGCTATTTCCATCCCCAAAACATTTTCAGATGTTGCTAAGTTTTTTAAAATAACTGAAACAAATATTTTAACAATTTGTATACATGTTAAAAAAAGTAAGATTGTTGCTATATATTGTGTTAGCTGATGCTCTGCTCTGTTTCTTTCAGATGGTCCAAGCCTTTTCTCACTGTATACTTTGTTCCAAGGATGACGTAGACTTAGATGAACTACTAGCTGCCAAACTGGTATCATTTCTGATGGGCAATTATCATGAGATCTTAAATGCTTCCCCTGCCCTGAAATTTGCAGTAGAGGAGCACATAGCACATTTACGAAGAGTTCAGGTGAGAGCTGTAGGGTGACAGTAACCCTTTGGGTCTCATTTCAGATGGAAGCAAATCTTCTTTCTTTCAGAAATAAGCAAATAAGTAACGTAAAGTTCATTTTCCCAGATGGGAAAGTTTATTCCCAGAGTCATGTTTTGTTACAGAAATCACATGACATTAAATTCTGCGATGTAGGCATTTTACAACATTGTCACCTGCACTGTTGTAAAGGATGTCCCAGAATTTCAAACGCTTGAGATGTACAAAAAATGACTAGGACAAAAAGAAATGTCCAACTAAATCTTGTCACTTTTGACCATTGGGATACTTTTTTTGTCCTAGCTGATATTTCAAAAGCAAAGAAAATTGTTCTTTTTTTGGGGGGGGGTAGGGGGTGGCTTTTTTTTAATGAACTATGGTGCTGACAAATACTGCAGTCTGCTTGTCAGTACTTTGGCCCCATTTGCGGGATGAGATAGGGACTGGAACTTTAATGGGTTCAGGAACTACAAGACATGTATATATATATATAAATTATTAAATGTAACCAAGCTTGAAACCTGCTACCCTCACTATATTGAAATTTCCTTGTTGAAATCCATATAAATATATAAGATCATTCGTTGCCATATTTTAATCACCATGAATCTCTTGAAAGTCCTTAAAATTAACTTCTGTTTTATAAGAATATCTTTCTTTCTTTGAGCCAAAAGCAAAGCATTCTGTTTAAAACTTATCCTGGATATTTATGTGTAGGCAATGGGAATTGTTTAAGCTTCTATCTCCTGATTCCAACATTTCAGTTAGGGGATTGCTTATTGTGTCTAAAATTATATCATGCAGGAAGAGGTTTGTATATACATAGCTTCCTGTAAGCAGTGATGGAGACAAGCCATACCACAGAATCCTTTCACATGCAGTTTGCTTTTTCTTAATATCTACTCTGTATGCATATTGATTTCTCAATAATGTCTCAAACAAGTATCGAGATTAATAACAGAGCATTAAGAATGATAAAATAAAAGAAGAATCAAGAGTAAAATTCAGTTCCCAGTGGCCTGCAACAGAGAAATAATGATCATTCACAGGCCTCCAAAATACCATGTCTGGCATGTTTTGTGAAGGATGGAATTCCACAAGGACCAAAAAGTCCTTAAATTGTGAGATTTTTCTTTTGCTGTTTCCAGCTGATGATGCTTTTATCCAGGGAGAGATGCATTTGTAAAATAATTTATGCCAGAACACAAGCATCTGAACTGCTTCTCAGAATGCCTAAAATCTCTTTACTGCAGATAAAATATCCAGGAGCTGATACTGATGCAACTTTTCCTGCTCCATCATTTTGTCACCAAATCAGCACTGATGAATTTGAACACCAAAGAGCAAATAGCTGTCAAGAGCAGTTGACCAGATTATTGGAAGAAATTGCCATGAATACAGAAATGTCCACCAAAGAGAAGAAGAAAAAGTTGAAACAGGTAGAGGATTTTTTTTAAAAAAATATCTTCTATCTGAAGAAGGCCATCAAATGTTCTCATGTGCTTGATTACATATTTCCCTTGTTCAGTTTCCTCTTTCATTTCCTTTAAATTAATTTTCGGATTTGTCTTTATAGAATCATCTCCAAAAATTCATCATCTGCAGAACGATATCTCTGCAAGTATATGTAGCATTCTAGTTTACTAAATTAGGTACGGGAGCATAAATGTATATGTCTGGGATAGGCAAAGCCCCCCGGGGCTGCCTGTGTGGTCCCCCAGCACATCCATGCCCTTGAAATAATTTTTCATAATTAAAAAGTGCCCCCTTTATGCCCTGGGGGGGGTTGATGATATTCCACTATGTTCCCCCTACTTTTCCCCCACGTTTTCCCAAAACTAGAGGTTCCTTCCTAGTTTTCAAAGAATGTCCACCCTGATATGAATGGGGCCAGGGAAGGCCAGAAACATAATGAAATTACACCCCACCACCATTCCTGTTGCAAGGCAGGAGGGGGCTATTTTCATTTTTCTTTTTTTTAAAAAGGGGGGTTATCAAGGAACCGGGAATGGCCCTTTAAGTTCCGAGGCGGTGTGTTTCTGGAAGTCACCCATAGTATATGGAGATATTTCCTAGGAAGTAGGTGCTTTGTAACATTTACAGATCAATGGGAATGTGGGGTTGTAGGCTTCAGATCCAAAGTGACTAGATATGACTTGGAGCCCTGCCATTCCGAGTCCCTTATATTGTATACTTGTATTTGCTGAGGCCTTCTGCATGTGATCTTATGAACAGAACATGACTTATTTTAGGGCCAAGATTTTGTTTCTATTCAGGTTGGCAACAAATGACTCATGGGCCACATGCAGCCCTCAATCTCATTTTGCAGTTCCAGAACCTCCCCTCTCTTCACATTTATCAATTTTTAAAGAAGATTCACTCTTCCTGGAACCCTCTAGGACACTTAGTTCTTCAAAATAATGTGAAACCTACCTGGCAGGTTTAATTTAGGCAAAACAACAACAACAAAAGCAACAAAAAGAGGGAATTTACCATATTTGCCAGCGTACAAGACAACTGGGCGTATAAGACGACCCCCCCAACGTTTCCATTCAAAATATAGAGTGGATGGTTCTGTTGCAGTGCCGGCGGCGAGGCCCGAGGAGGGCAAGGAGGAGGGGAAGCGGCTGGGTGGGCAACGGAGGAGGAGGAGGGGAAACTCTCTGGCAGCGAGCGGGCAGCTGGCTCAGCCGGTGACGAGGCCCGAGGAGGAGGGGAAGCTGCTGGGCGGGCGGGCAGCAGCAGAGGATGGGGGAAGCTCTGCGGCTGGTGGGCAAGCAGGCAGCTGGTTCATCAGCACGGGGCAGCCCGGCAGCGGGCTCTGGCTGCTCAGGCATGGGTGGCTCTGCTTCCCTCCGTCCGGACCGACCGCCTGCCTGCCCGCCTGCCTTCCTCCCCGGCCGGTGCGGCCCTGTGTCACTCATTCAACGGCGGCGGCAGCTCCTTCCTGGCCCAACTCAAGTGCACCCGGCATATAAGACGACCCCCCACTTGGAGGCATGCTTTTTGGGCCAAAAAAGTCATCTTATATGCCGGCAAATACGGTA